ATTTCCATTGGGGTCCTTAATCTTGTCCCCCAGGATGCGACCCACACCAGTCGACTAACACCCAGGTACCTATTTGCTGCTAGGTGAACAGGACAACAGGTGTAAGGAAACGTGTCGAAATGTTTCCACCCGCCGGGAATCGAACCCAGGCCCTCCGTGTGTGAAGCGGGAGCTTTAGCCACCAGGCCTCCAGCCAGCTCCTCATTAACAATGGTGTTGAGGGTTGCAAGATTAGGGTGAGAGATGACATAAGTCGTGTCGTCAGCAAAGAGAATGGGGTTCAGGTGTCGAGATACGTTTGGAAGATCATTGATGTGTATGAGGAAGAGCAGGGGACCAAGGACACTTCCCTGCGGAACTCCAGTATCAAGGGGCTGTGTTGTTGATGCTGTGTCTTTAATGGTGACATACTGATACCTATTAGTAAGGTAAGATTTGAAATATGCAAGCGCATGGCCTCTTATACCATAATGGTCAAGTTTGTGGAGTAGGATGCCGTGGTCTACTGTGTCAAAAGCTTTTCTTAGGTCAATAAAAATTCCTAGTGGATATTCCTTATTTTCCAATGCTGTGTAAAGCAGATCTAGCATTTTTATGATTGCATCGTTAGTGCTTTTATTTTTCCTGAATCCAAATTGGCAGGGGTTGAGTATGTTTTGTGCCGTTATAAATGAATATAGTCTCCTGTGCACGAGTTTCTCAAAGATTTTGGATAGCAATGGTAAGTTTGATATTGGCCTATAGTTGTTTAAATCTGTAGGGTCACCACCTTTATGTATTGGTGTAACCCTTGCCGTCTTGAGTAGTTTCGGGAAGGTGCTATGCCGGAAAAAAAATCCCCCCCCCCCAGTACCAACAATACCACCAGTCCGATAACATTCTTCTTTGCAAATATACAGGGTCTAAAGCCAGCAACAAACAACAAAATACCTTTCATCCGTGGACTGCTTGCAGAGGCAAAGGCAATGTTCGCGGCTTTCACTGAGACCCACATAAAGGATCACTTGGACAACGAAATATGGATCCCAGGTTACAACCTATACAGATGTGACAGAGTGAACAGGCAAAAGGGGGGGGGGGGTTGGCCTGTACATTGCAGAGTCACTTGTTTGCACAGAACTGCTAAATGCCTCAAATGATGTAGTGGAAGTTTTAGCAGTAAAGGTCGAGAACCAAAACCTAGTCATTGTGGTAGTCTACAAGCCTCCGGATGCAACATCCCAGCAATTCCAGGAACAGCTGTTAAAAATTGACCACTGTCTGGAAAACCTTCCAGCTCCTGCACCCAACATCTTGCTCCAGGGGATTTCAACTTAAGGCACCTAAAATGGAGGAATATAGCAAATAATATTGTTGCAGTAATAACACCAGGAGGCAGCTCTGATGAAAACTCACACTCACGCGAGCTTTTAAATCTCTGCACAAAATTCAATTTAAACCAGCAAATAATAGAGCCTACTAGACTGGAGAATACACTAGACCTCATCTTCACTAACAATGATGATCTGATAAGAAATGTCACCATATCAAAAACAATATACTCAGATCACAACATAATTGAGGTTCAGTCATGTATGCGCGGAGCCCCAGACCGACATAATGAGATTAGTCACGAGGGAGCATTCACCAAATTCAACGTCAATAACAAAAACATAAAGTGGGACCAAGTAAACCAAGTCCTAACCGATATAAGCTGGGAAGATATACTAACCAACACAGACCCCAACTTATGCCTAGAACAGATTAACTCGGTGGCACTCGATGTATGCACAAGGCTTATTCCTCTAAGAAAAAGGAGGAGTAGATGTAAAACAGAAAGAGACAGGCGCTCCCTTTACAGGCGACGGAAAATAACAAAGCGGCTAAAAGAGGTCAATATATCTGAAATGCGTAGGGAGACACTGGTCAGAGAAATAGCAAGCATCGAACTTAAGCTAAAAGAATCCTTTAGGAGTCAGGAATCGCGGGAAGAACTAAAAGCCATAAATGAAATCGAAAGAAACCCAAAGTATTTCTTCTCCTATGCCAAATCAAAATCGAGAACAACGTCCAGTATTGGGCCCCTACTTAAACAAGATGGGTCCTACACAGATGACAGCAAGGAAATGAGTGAGCTACTCAAGTCCCAATATGACTCAGTTTTTAGCAAGCCGCTAACCAGACTGAGAGTCGAAGATCAAAATGAATTTTTTATGAGAGAGCCACAAAATTTGATTAACACAAGCCTATCCGATGTTATCCTGACGCCAAATGACTTCGAACAGGCGATAAATGACATGCCCATGCACTCTGCCCCAGGGCCAGACTCATGGAACTCTGTGTTCATCAAGAACTGCAAGAAGCCTCTATCACGAGCCTTTTCCATCCTATGGAGAGGGAGCATGGACACGGGGGTCGTCCCACAGTTACTAAAAACAACAGACATAGCCCCACTCCACAAAGGGGGCAGTAAAGCAACAGCAAAGAACTACAGACCAATAGCACTAACATCCCATATCATAAAAATCTTTGAAAGGGTCCTAAGAAGCAAGATCACCACCCATCTAGAAACCCATCAGTTACACAACCCAGGGCAACATGGGTTTAGAACAGGTCGCTCCTGTCTGTCTCAACTATTGGATCACTACGACAAGGTCCTAAATGCACTAGAAGACAAAAAGAATGCAGATGTAATATATACAGACTTTGCAAAAGCCTTCGACAAGTGTGACCATGGCGTAATAGCGCACAAAATGCGTGCTAAAGGAATAACAGGAAAAGTCGGTCGATGGATCTATAATTTCCTCACTAACAGAACACAGAGAGTAGTCGTCAACAGAGTAAAGTCCGAGGCAGCTACGGTGAAAAGCTCTGTTCCACAAGGCACAGAACTCGCTCCCATCTTGTTCCTCATCCTCATATCCGACATAGACAAGGATGTCAGCCACAGCACCGTGTCTTCCTTTGCAGACGACACCCGAATCTGCATGACAGTGTCTTCCATTTGTGACACTGCAAAGCTCCAGGCGGACATCAACCAAATCTTTCAGTGGGCTGCAGAAAACAATATGAAGTTCAACGATGAGAAATTTCAATTACTCAGATATGGTAAACATGAGGAAATTAAATCTTCATCAGAGTACAAAACAAATTCTGGCCACAAAATAGAGCGAAACACCAACGTCAAAGACCTGGGAGTGATCATGTCGGAGGATCTCACCTTCAAGGACCATAACATTGTATCAATCGCATCTGCTAGAAAAATGACAGGATGGATAATGAGAACCTTCAAAACTAGGGAGGCCAAGCCCATGATGACACTCTTCAGGTCACTTGTTCTATCTAGGCTGGAATATTGCTGCACACTAACAGCACCTTTCAAGGCAGGTGAAATTGCCGACCTAGAAAATGTACAGAGAACTTTCACGGCGCGCATAATGGAGATAAAACACCTCAATTATTGGGAGCGCTTGAGGTTCCTAACCCTGTATTCCCTGGAACGCAGGAGGGAGAGATACATGATTATATACACCTGGAAAATCCTAGAGGGACTAGTACCGAACTTGCACACGAAAATCACTCACTACGAAAGCAAAAGACTTGGCAGACGATGCACCATCCCCCCAATGAAAAGCAGGGGTGTCACTAGCACGTTAAGAGACCATACAATAAGTGTCAGGGGCCCAAGACTGTTCAACTGCCTCCCAGCACACATAAGGGGGATTACCAACAGACCCCTGGCAGTCTTCAAGCTGGCACTGGACAAGCACCTAAAGTCAGTTCCGGATCAGCCGGGCTGTGGCTCGTACGTTGGTTTGCGTGCAGCCAGCAGCAACAGCCTGGTTGATCAGGCTCTGATCCACCAGGAGGCCTGGTCACAGACCGGGCCGCGGGGGCGTTGACCCCCGGAACTCTCTCCAGGTAAACTCCAGCTTCTAGTGACTTGTTAAAAAGCAATGAGATATTATGCGAGAGGACATGGGCCACTCTCTTGTACAATAATGGTGGGACATGAGACAGATTCCCTGAGTTATTTTTAAGTGACTTTATAATCTCGGTGACTTCCGTGGGCTCAGTTGGAGCAAGATAGAAGGAATTTAGGAAATTCCCATCTAGGTAGTCCCCGGCATGGGCATTGGTACGTGGGATTTTATTGGCGAGAGTAGAACCTATGGTTGAGAAGTCGTTTATCTTGTTAGCTGTGTCGGTGGGTTGCAGTGGTGTTTCATTAGGTTTAGTTAGGACAATATTCTTGTTTTTTTTCAGTTTGTGGGTCCCTAGAATCTGAGAGAGTGTTTTCCAGGTCTTTTTTATATCTCCTCTTGTGTCAGTGAATCTACTGGAGTAGTATAGTTGTTTGGCTTTCTTTATTACTTTGGTGAGGACTGATGAATAGTGTTTAAGAATATCTTTGTGTATTAAGCCCTGTCTATATTGCTTTTCATATTGCTTCGTTTTGCAGTTTTTCCAGCCCTTCCAGTCAGACACGAGAGAAAGTAGTGGCTCAGCATAATCCACCAATAATCTAATATAAGCAAGATACATAATTTTCACAACTTTAACATTAGCACCATACCTGGGATGAAAACCTGCCACAGAAGTGCCCTCAGCCGTTCTTTGTATTGGTGACAGTCTCGTTATAACAGGTCCAAGTAGCGGGACGTCAAAGCCTAGATACCAGTATCTGGTTATATATTCTAGAAAAGACACATCATGTAGCTGGATATGGCGAACTGAATGGGGACAATAGATATAAGAAAACAAGCTTAATGTTTCCACCTGGCCGGAGATTGAACCATGGATACTTTGTGTGTGAGGCGAGTGTTACCTACCAGGCCACAGGATACCATTGGGATCCTTGATTTATCAAGGCTGTAAGACTGGTCACCTCATATTTACCTCTCTACTGCATCTACATTATGCTTACACTGTTTTATTACTTATATCTATAGCATTTTTTTTTTTTGCAAATCAACGTGTAAGACTAAGTGTAACAAGCATAAGTGCGTCCCGCAAGCGAGGTTCCTTGATACCGGTGAGGAGGCTCTTGATGCAAGGAATTGGACCTACACTAACCTTCCTTGGATTGAACTTGACAGCTTCCAGTTCTCCGAGACGCTGTATGACCCCTGTGTGTTTAGCACTTCGCTCTAAATACTATAAAAGACGTGTGCGGGTAGCGAGGTTCATGTGAGGGAGGAGCGGCCATCACTGCCCCACAACAGTGACACTCAGTGTCTCTGTAACACTCGCAGTGTCTCTGTAACACTCACAGTGTCTCCCTGCAACACTCTCCCACTACAGTGACATTCACAGGTACTAGTACTGCTACTGTAAGTCTAAACCTAATTAAGTATTGACTGGTAAGTAGACACTTGTTAAATATCGCCGCTTGACTAGTAATAAGTTCCTTGACGCCGGTGAGGGGCTCTTGATCCAAGGGATTACAGTATTTTCCTCGTTTCTTGGAGAGTATCACCATGCCTGCCTCTTCCCCACCCACTGCTGTATAACCACGACCTCTTAAATATTCCAAATATATTTAATAATACCAGTAGTAATGTGTCACAATGTTAGGTACATACAAGTCTTGCTCATATACCAGATGTTTATGTTGCTATTAAGCTTACATTGATGCAGCTGTCGCAGTCGTGGGTGAAGTAAGCTTAAGCAGGATAAAAGCTTATATAGTGACATTATTGGAGAAAGAAAAATTGGTTGATTGTGAGGGTGAGTGACCGTTCCTGCAGGAGGGAAGGAACCTCCAGGATACTCCACCATCTCTGTAACCAGTTGTTCTCTCCTTCCTCGCATCAAACTTCACTATTTTTACCCCCAAGTTCTGTATGACCCACAATTTAACGCCATTAACATAAATTTTATGTTATTGTTAATATACAATACTGGCAGCTGTTGAACATAACAGGTGAAATACTGGTATCTTTACTGCCGATATTTCTCGCCTGCATAGTAGACTTCTTCACTTAAATATAGACGAATATAAAGCCATAGATAATATTAGATGTAATTTTGAGGTGGTCAGTTTGTTCGGGGACTGACCCCCTCAAAATTACATCTCATTAGTCCCTGAGCCTAAAGGACCTCAGTGGAAACAAGTCACTGACTTTTTTGGGTTATCCCAGGTTCTCTACACATATGCTGCTATGTATGATAATCTATGTAACTGTATTTGTTTATACCTAAATAATCTTAAGTGCTGGTCAGCCCCTTTAGGGACTCATCTGCACCTCCCAAGGCTGAGGGACTAATCAGATTCATGTCTACTTTCTCTCAAATTTTATATTTATCTGTTAGACTGAAGAAGCCTGCTGTACCATCTAAAAGTTTGAGCCGTAAAGATAGCCAGTTGTTGCACATGTCTTATACAGATGTGACAGAGTGAACAGGCAAAAGGGGGGGGTTGGCCTGTACATTGCAGAGTCACTTGTTTGCACAGAACTGCTAAATGCCTCAAATGATGTAGTGGAAGTTTTAGCAGTAAAGGTCGAGAACCAAAACCTAGTCATTGTGATAGTCTACAAGCCTCCGGATGCAACATCCCAGCAGTTCCAGGAACAGCTGTTAAAAATTGACCACTGTCTGGAAAACCTTCCAGCTCCTGCACCCAACATCTTGCTCCTGGGGGATTTCAACTTAAGGCACCTAAAATGGAGGAATATAGCAAATAATATTGTTGCAGTAATAACACCAGGAGGCAGCTCTGATGAAAACTCACACTCACGCGAGCTTTATAAATCTCTGGCCCAAAATTCAATTTAAACCAGCAAATAATAGAGCCTACTAGACTGGAGAATACACTAGACCTCATCTTCACTAACAATGATGATCTGATAAGAAATATCACCATATCAAAAACAATATACTCAGATCACAACATAATTGAGGTTCAGTCATGTATGCGCGGAGCCCCAGACCGACATAATGAGATTAGTCACGAGGGAGCATTCACCAAATTCAACTTCAATAACAAAAACATAAAGTGGGACCAAGTAAACCAAGTCCTAACCGATATAAGCTGGGAAGATATACTAAGCAACACAGACCCCAACTTATGCCTAGAACAGATTAACTCGGTGGCACTCGATGTATGCACAAGGCTTATTCCTCTAAGAAAAAGGAGGAGTAGATGTAAAACAGAAAGAGACAGGCGCTCCCCTTTACAGGCGACGGAAAAGAATAACAGAGCGGCTAAAAGAGGTCAATATATCTGAAATGCGTAGGGAGACACTGGTCAGAGAAATAGCAAGCATCGAACTTAAGCTAAAAGAATCCTTTAGGAGTCAGGAATCGCGGGAAGAACTAAAAGCCATAAATGAAATCGAAAGAAACCCAAAGTATTTCTTCTCCTATGCCAAATCAAAATCGAGAACAACGTCCAGTATTGGGCCCCTACTTAAACAAGATGGGTCCTACACAGATGACAGCAAGGAAATGAGTGAGCTACTCAAGTCCCAATATGACTCAGTTTTTAGCAAGCCGCTAACCAGACTGAGAGTCGAAGATCAAAATGAATTTTTTATGAGAGAGCCACAAAATTTGATTAACACAAGCCTATCCGATGTTATCCTGACACCAAATGACTTCGAACAGGCGATAAATGACATGCCCATGCACTCTGCCCCAGGGCCAGACTCATGGAACTCTGTGTTCATCAAGAACTGCAAGAAGCCCCTATCACGAGCCTTTTCCATCCTATGGAGAGGGAGCATGGACACGGGGGTCGTCCCACAGTTACTAAAAACAACAGACATAGCCCCACTCCACAAAGGGGGCAGTAAAGCAACAGCAAAGAACTACAGACCAATAGCACTAACATCCCATATCATAAAAATCTTTGAAAGGGTCCTAAGAAGCAAGATCACCACGCATCTAGAAACCCATCAGTTACACAACCCAGGGCAACATGGGTTTAGAACAGGTCGCTCCTGTCTGTCTCAACTATTGGACCACTACGACAAGGTCCTAAATGCACTAGAAGACAAAAAGAATGCAGATGTAATATATACAGACTTTGCAAAAGCCTTCGACAAGTGTGACCATGGCATAATAGCGCACAAAATGCGTGCTAAAGGAATAACAGGAAAAGTCGGTCGATGGATCTATAATTTCCTCACTAACAGAACACAGAGAGTAGTCGTCAACAGAGTAAAGTCCGAGGCAGCTACGGTGAAAAGCTCTGTTCCACAAGGCACAGTACTCGCTCCCATCTTGTTCCTCATCCTTATATCCGACATAGACAAGGATGTCAGCCACAGCACCGTGTCTTCCTTTGCAGATGACACCCGAATCTGCATGACAGTGTCTTCCATTGCAGACACTGCAAAGCTCCAGGCAGACATCAACCAAATCTTTCAGTGGGCTGCAGAAAACAATATGAAGTTCAACGATGAGAAATTTCAATTACTCAGATATGGTAAACATGAGGAAATTAAATCTTCATCAGAGTACAAAACAAATTCTGGCCACAAAATAGAGCGAAACACCAACGTCAAAGACCTGGGAGTGATCATGTCGGAGGATCTCACCTTCAAGGACCATAACATTGTATCAATCGCATCTGCTAGAAAAATGACAGGATGGATAATGAGAACCTTCAAAACTAGGGAGGCCAAGCCCATGATGACACTCTTCAGGTCACTTGTTCTATCTAGGCTGGAATATTGCTGCACACTAACAGCACCTTTCAAGGCAGGTGAAATTGCCGACCTAGAAAATGTACAGAGAACTTTCACGGCGCGCATAACGGAGATAAAACACCTCAATTATTGGGAGCGCTTGAGGTTCCTAAACCTGTATTCCCTGGAACGCAGGAGGGAGAGATACATGATTATATACACCTGGAAAATCCTAGAGGGACTAGTACCGAACTTGCACACGAAAATCACTCATTACGAAAGCAAAAGACTTGGCAGACGATGCACCATCCCCCCAATGAAAAGCAGGGGTGTCACTAGCACGTTAAGAGACCATACAATAAGTGTCAGGGGCCCGAGACTGTTCAACTGCCTCCCAGCACACATAAGGGGGATTACCAACAGACCCCTGGCAGTCTTCAAGCTGGCACTGGACAAGCACCTAAAGTCAGTTCCGGATCAGCCGGGCTGTGGCTCGTATGTTGGTTTGCGTGCAGCCAGCAGCAACAGCCTGGTTGATCAGGCTCTGATCCACCAGGAGGCCTGGTCTCAGACCGGGCCGCGGGGGCGTTGACCCCCGGAACTCTCTCCAGGTAAACTCCAGGTAATGTAATAATAACTTTGACATGAATATTTTTCAGTAGTACAGTATCTTAAGAACTAAGTGACCATATTGCACTTCTCTGGCACTTATAGATCATTTTATACTAGATGATAATAGTTTGCTAGAGAATACATGGGTATACTCCAGGTACATAATCAAATTCGTGGCCCCAGTTTATTCAACCTCTTACCAAAAGACACACCTGAAACACTACTGGAACAATTATAGAGGTCTTCAAGAGGAAACTGAACAAGTATCTTCACCAGGTGCCAGATCAACCAGGCTATGATGGATATGTGGGGCATTAGGTCACCAGCAGCAACAGTCTGGTTGATCAGGCAAGCACCAGACGAGCATGACCCATGGCCTGGCTCCAGGAGCAGTTGTGATGAATGGTTTGAAAAACCGACAAGTTGAAGATTGAGACACTTATGCAGCATATGGGAATCTTTATTCAGGAAACGTTTCGCCACACAGTGGCTTCATCAGTCCAATACAAAGAGGAAGGCGTAAGGAGAGGAGGAGTATGAGGTAATCAGTCCCTCAGCCTGGAGTCGATGTGTTCAGTCCATCAATCTTGTAGAATGTACAGCATAGGGCCGTAGACGTGGCTTATATACTGTAGTGAGGTGACTTGAAGCAGACGGAGGCGGGATCATAGTGGTATCATCCACTAGTCGAAGTAGGTCTTTGTCCAAAGGTTGAACAAGCGTTGAAGACTCTTGAAACTCATCAAAGGTATATCAGAGTAAAACCATCCTGGGGGTGATGGTCAGTGCCAGGCTACTCCAGTAGAAATAAGTTGCATTCGCTGGTTTTTCTGGGTTATCCTAGGTAATTTACACACGTTACTTTGTATGACAATTGTAATCACCCAAAACCTGTGTAAATGTACCTAAGTAAACTTGCTAGGCACAAGCCTGGGTGCCTTTACCTTTAGCCAACACTTTATTGTACACAAATAACCCACACTTTGTACACAAATAACCTTTATTGTACACAAATAACCTTTAGTGTACAGCACTAAAGGAGTGGAATGGATTGCCGGTACATGTCAGAGGCTGTCCTAGCATGACGAAGTTCAGGAAAAGAGCTAAAAGGTACCTAATGAATGAAGCTACGGAAAGGGAGGAGAGGATATTTTTTTTTTTTTTTTTTTTTTTAAGTTTAAAATTGTTCATATTATAGTAAGATGATCACACCCTGCGTCATTATGTACTGGAGTGTGATAAAATTAATGAATTTAGAAACAACTCGCTCAGAAATGTTCAAGAAATGGCAAAGTACTTTATCCACAGTGGTATATTGCAGACCATTCTGGAGAAATACCCTGACTTTGCTAGCTGTAAATAATGCATTACCATGTGTGTGTGCGTGGGTGTGCGTGGGTGTGCGTGGGTGTGCGTGTGTGTGTGTGGGTGTTGGTGTGGGTGTTGGTGTGTGGGTGTTTGGTGTGTGTTGGTGTGTGTGTGTGTGTGTGTGTGTGTGGGTGTTGGTGTTGTGGTGTGTGGTGTGTGTGTGTGTGTGTGTGTGTGTGTGTGTGTGTGTGTGTGTGTGTGTGTGTGTGTGTGTGTGTGTGTGTGTGTGTGTGTGTGTGTGTGTGTACTCACCTATTTGTACTCACCTATTTGTGGTTGCAGGGGTCGAGTCCTAGCTCCTGGCCCCGCCTCTTCACCGGTTGCTACTAGGCCCTCTCTCTCCCCGCTCCATGAGCTTTATCAAACCTCGTCTTAAAACTGTGTATGGTTCCTGCCTCCACTACGTCATTTTCTAGGCTATTCCACTGCCTTACAACTCTATGACTGAAGAAATACTTCCTACTATCTCTCTGACTCATTTGTGTCTTCAACTTCCAATTGTGGCCTCTTGTTTCTGTGTCCTCTCCCTGGAACATCCTGTCTTTGTCCCCCTTGTCTATTCCACGCAGTATTTTATATGTCGTTATCATGTCTCCCCTGACCCTCCTGTCCTCCAGTGTCGTCAGGCCGATTTCCCTTAATCTTTCTTCATAGGACATTCCCCTTAGCTCTGGAACTAACCTTGTCGCAAACCTTTGTACTTTCTTTAGTTTCTTGACGTGCTTTATCAAGTGCGGGTTCCAAACAGGTGCTGCATACTCCAGTATGGGCCTGACATACACGGTGTACAGTGTCTTGAATGATTCCTTACTAAGGTATCGAATGCTGTTCTCAGGTTTGCCAGGCGCCCATATGCTGCAGCAGTTATCTGATTGATGTGTGCTTCCGGAGACATGCTCGGTGTTATACTCACCCCAAGATCTTTCTCCTTGAGTGAGGTTTGCAGTCTTTGGCCACCTAGCCTATACTCTGTCTGTGGTCTTCTGTGCCCCTCCCCCATCTTCATGACTTTGCATTTGGCAGGATTAAATTCGAGAAGCCATTTGCTGGACCAGGTGTCCAGTCTGTCCAGGTCTCTTTGAAGTCCTGCCTGGTCCTCGTGTGTGTGTGTGTGTGTGTGTGTGTGTGTGTGTGTGTGTGTGTGTGTGTGTGTGTGTGTGTGTGTGTGTGTGTGTGTGTGTGTGTGTGTGTGAATTTGTATGTGTGTGTGTGTGTGTGTCTCAACAATCAATATTTGCACCAATAACTCACTACAGTTGTGACCGGGTGTGGAAGTGTGAATTGCTCATTACACTATAATTTGTTCATGATTGTAGCCATGTATAAACGTAAGTAACCATTCTTACAGGGTTCATTACCTTTGTAACTTGTGAGTTCATTACCTTGTACCTAGTTCAGCCATCACAACTTTGGGAGCCCAGTCCCCGGACCCATTACGTACCTCTGTAATCTGTAAATACCTTTGTAACTTGTCATGATTGTGACTAGACCTACCTGGAGTTCATTACCTTTGTAAATTGTGAGTTCATTACCTTTGTAAATTGTGAATTCATTACCTCTGTAACTTGCTCAGCTATCAAAACTTTGGAGTCCAGTCCCTGGACCAATTATGTACCTCTGTAATCTTTTGACTACCGCCCACAGGATGGGTATGGGGTGCATAATAAACATATTAAACTAAGCTGATCCCCTCTTTAATGTTCATATGTAAATAACTCTGTTTACTTTATTCCTATTGTATCTCTTTTTATTGTAACTGATCTTCACACAGTTGAGTTACTTAGCTGTTTTAACTTTTAGGCTTGTAATCATGATTGCTTTCTTCTGTAACTTACTGCTAGGCTTTAAATAATAAGATATTACAAGGACCTCCATGGAAATAAGTCTAAACTTTTTTTTTGGGGGTTATCCTAGGTAATTTAAATGTTAAACTAATTTGTCATTTAGTTGAAATCATAAATTAATACAGGTATTTAAACTTTCATTTCTGGTAAAAATGGCTTTAATCAGTTTTTATTTCTTCATAATGCTGTACAGTATTATACATTTATATGCTTTCTATGTAAAATAAAATGATCATTACAATAACTGTACACCAAACCACTCAATATTTTCTTTTTTTGCATTCCAGTTGCTACAAGGAAAAATGGTTGTACGACAGTATAATGAAGAACTTAAATACCTTGAAAGATTGTCACCCCAATGTTGGCGTATCAAGAAGGGTTTTCAGCCCAATATGAATGTAAGATATTAAAGATTTTTTATAAATTAATATAGCTGATATATTTCTTCTTTCAACTCACCAGCCGTATTCCACCGAGGCAGGGTGGTCCAAAAGGAAAAGTGAAAGTTCTCCTTTTACATTTAGTAATACATACAGGAGAAGGGGTTACTAGCCCCTTGCTCCTGGCATTTTAGTTGCTTCTTACAACATGCATGGCTTACAGAGGACGAATTCCGCTCCACTTCCTCTTAGGTGGCTGGAGTTTCCTTCTTAGTAATGAGTAGGAAATTCATGTGAATTATTTTTTATTTAACAAATACAGTAGGACCCCATATCCGTGGGCAATACTTTCCAATGACCTGCCATGGATACCGAAACCACAGATAGTAGCAAATCCTATGCGTATACAAGTCCTATACATACCTATTATAAAGTTTAATTGATAAATTATGTACAATAAATGGAGAATTATCACTTTTTCACTGATGGGAAGCCCTCCACAGCTTCTTTTGGACTTTGAAGAATGCTAGCTTCTCTACTTTTGCGCTTTAAGGCCATTGTTATGCAAAACTAAGCAGTATTTTTGGGCCGCAATAAAATGTGGATAACTGAAGCCACGAATACTGACTCAGTGGATACGGGGGTTCTACTGTATTGTAGTTCATCATTGAAGGTTTCAGTAACCAGGTACACTCTTGCAGTATATGTAAGGAACCTTATTTTTTTAGACCATGCTAGTAAGTTAAATCAAATAGGTATCTTTGTTTTTTCTCGCAAGTTAACATTGAAAGTAGTATACCGTATAATGGGGCAGTTGCTTTATGTGAAGGGTAATTGTGCCACCAGCCTAGGAGTGCCATATGTGTAGTGCCTATTAAAACACCACTATCTGGAATGTTTATTTGTCAATATTCTGCATATTTTTGAAACTGCTCATTTCAAGGGCATTTTTACGTTGGTGACATAATTACCCCTCAGGATTCCGTTGCCTCTTTATACATAGTATTTGTGAAGCTATAGAAAAAAAAAAAGAGTAAAGCCTGTTTTAGATTCATAGCTATTTTTTATAGCTTTAGATTTCATTTTGGGTGCATAACTTACAAATAAGCCATGCGTGTTGATAAGAGGCGATTAAAATGCCGGGAGCAAGGGGCTAGTAACCCCTTCTCCTGTGTATATTACTAAATTTAAAAGGAGAAACTCTCCCTTTTGGGCCACCCCACCTCAGTGGGATACGGCTGGTGCGTTGAAAGAAAGAAAGAAAGAAAACTTTTACAAATAACATGAAGCCATCATCTCAAAGATTTGGTAAAGCAAGATGCCTCTTGCTAAGCAAATATCAGTTATAGGAGGGCCCCGCTTTATGGCATTTCACTTTATGGCGTTTTTACTAATATGTACATTTCAAATTATGACCAAAACTCTTCATCCGGCTACCTACCTGACTCTGTATTACAGCCTCCACACACCACTGTTTGTTTACATCCTCTGTGAACTCTGTGTCTCTTGATTATGTCTGGAGACTCCAAAATTTCAAGTGTTTTAAAGTTATTGCATATTTTATATATACTCTGACAGTTATACTTATGTGTACATGTACCTTAATAAACTTACTGTGCTTGCATGCAGGTACACATTAAAATCACTAAGAGTGTGTCAGCATTCTTGAAGATGCCATATTAATAAAAATAATAATCACTATGGGGCACTTTAAATGTTGTATATTACATTAATAAAGACATTTTCATTGATCCACCTATATTTTTTCAAAATTATATAAGAAGCATGTTACATAACATATAAATATAATATATACACCCACAGTAGAACAAATTGAACAAATATGAGATGTGTGATAAAAGAGAAAAAGGTAGCTTACAAGAGGTTTTTACAAAGCAGAAGTGTTATAAGAAGAGCAGAGTATATGGAGAGTAAAAGAAAGGTGAAGAGAGTGGTGAGAGAGTGCAAAAGGAGAACAGATGAAAGAGTGGGAGAGGCACTTGTCAAGAAATTTTAATGAAAATAAGAAAAAAATTTGGAGTGAGTTAAACAAGTTAAGAAAGCCTAGGGAAAGTATGGATTTGTCAGTTAAAAACAGAGTAGGGGAGTTAGTAGATGGGGAGAGGGAGGTATTAGGTAGATGGAGAGAATATTTTGAGGAACTTTTAAATGTTGAGGAAGAAAGGGAGGCGGTAATTTCATGCACTGGCCAGGGAGGTATACCATCTTTTAGGAGTGAAGAAGAGCAGAATGTAAGTGTGGTGGAGGTACGTGAGGCATTACGTAGAATGAAAGGGGGTAAAGCAGCTGGAACTGATGGGATCATGACAGAAATGTTAAAAGCATGGGGGATATAGTGTTGGAGTGGTTGGTACTTTTGTTTAATAAATGTATGAAAGAGGGGAAGGTACCTAGGGATTGGTGGAGAGCATGTATAGTCCCTTTATATAAAGGGAAAGGGGACAAAAGAGATTGTAAAAATTATAGAGGAATAAGTTTACTGAGTATACCAGGAAAAGTATACGGTAGGGTTATAATTGAAAGAATTAGAGGTAAGACAGAATGTAGGATTGTGGATGAGCAGGGAGGCTTCAGAGTGGGTAAGGGATGTGTAGATCAAGTGTTTACATTGAAGCATATATGTGAACAGTATTTAGATAAAGGTAGGGAAGTTTTTATTGCATTTATGGATTTAGAAAAGGCATATGATAGAGTGGATAGAGGAGCAATGTGGCAGATGTTGCAAGTATATTGAATAGGTGGTAAGTTACTAAATGCTGTAAAGAGCTTTTATGAGGATAGTGAGGCTCAGGTTAGGGTGTGTAGAAGAGAGGGAGAATACTTCCCGGTAAAAGTAGGTCTTAGACAGGGATGTGTAATGTCACCATGGTTGTTTAATATATTTATAGATGGGGTTGTAAAAGAAGTAAATGATAGGGTGTTTGGGAGAGGGGTGGGATTAAATTATGGGGAATCAAATTCAAAATGGGAATTGACACAGTTACTTTTTGCTGATGATACTGTGCTTATGGGAGATTCTAAAGAAAAATTGCGAAGGTTAGTGGATGAGTTTGAGAATGTGTGTAAAGGTAGAAAGTTGAAAGTGAACATAGAAAAGAGTAAGGTGATGAGGGTATCAAATGATTTAGATAAAGAAAAATTGGATATCAAATTGGGGAGGAGGAGTATGGAAGAAGTGAATGTTTTCAGGTACTTGGGAGTTGACGTGTCGGCGGATGGATTTATGAAGGATGAGGTTAATCATAGAATTGATGAGGGAAAAAAGGTGAGTGGTGCGTTGAGGTATATATGGAGTCAAAAAACGTTATCTATGGAGGCAAAGAAGGGAATGTATGAAAGTATAGTAGTACCAACACTCTTATATGGATTTGAAGCTTGGGTGGTAAATGCAGCAGCGAGGAGACGGTTGGAGGCAGTGGAGATGTCCTGTCTAAGGGCAATGTGTGGTGTAAATATTATGCAGAAAATTCGGAGTGTGGAAATTAGGAGAAGGTGTGGAGTTAATAAAAGCATTAGTCAGAGGGCAGAAGAGGGGTTGTTGAGGTGGTTTGGTCATTTAGAGAGAATGGATCAAAGTAGAATGACATGGAAAGCATATAAATCTATAGGGAAAGGAAGGAGGGGTAGGGGTCGTCCTCGAAAGGGTTGGAAAGAGGGGGTAAAGGAGGTTTTGTGGGCTAGGGGCTTGGATTTCCAGCAAGCGTGCATGAGCGTGTTAGATAGGAGTGAATGGAGGCGAATGATACTTGGGACCTGACGATCTGTTGGAGTGTGAGCAGGGTAATATTTAGTGAAGGGATTCAGGGAAACCGGTTATTTTCATATAGTCTGACTTGAGTCCTGGAAATGGGAAGTACAATGCCTGCACTTTAAAGGAGGGGTTTGGGATATTGGCAGTTTGGAGGGATATGTTGTGTATCTTTATACGTATATGCTTCTAAGCTGTTGTATTCTGAGCACCTCTGCAAAAGCAGTGATGATGTGTGAGTGTGGTGAAAGTGTTGAATGATGATGAAAGTATTTTCTTTTTGGGGATTTTCTTTCTTTTTTGGGTCACCCTGCCTCGGTGGGAGACGGCCGACTTGTTGAAAAAAAAAAAAAAAAAAGAGATGTTGTAGCTGGGCGGCTTGTTATGAGTGATGACAAGAATTCTGTTTTCTTAAGTCCAACACCAGAGAAAATGTGTGCACTGTAGTATGTATTACTGTGGGTAACTGTAGAAAATTATTCCTTTTGTATGCCTTCAGAGCATCATTCGCTCTAAAAATGGTGTTACATGAGAATGGGTGTATTGCTGTTATTCATTCTACTGCACCAGTGTGAAGACAATTTGTACACAATGTAGGATGTTTGTATTGTGGTAAAAGCTTCACAGAGGTATGCAGTAATGAACGTGAATGAACCACAATCAGACAAGTATTAAAACATGCTCGTCTGTTTGTTTACATTCTCATTGTCTCTCATTTACTTGTTCTCTTGTTTATGGTGGCATTTAAAGGCAGTTGTTAAAAATGATGGCAGTAATAATAATAATTGCTCTGGGGTGCTTTAAATTTGAGTCGTATATTTCGTGTAGGTGTGGTAGCCTGCTGAACTACCACACCTGACTTTCTACAGTAACTACTCGCCTCTCGCCCTACATTATGACTACACATATTTTAAGGCAAGTAATGAGTGTACTATATGTATATTTTACTCTGTTAAGGCCTGGTTCTATTGCTAACTTAATATGTTAGTGTAAATTTGTTACCTAGCATTTACATGCTTTTATAAGTGAAAAAAAAAAAAGGGCGCTTTGCTTTTCAGCGATTTTACTTTATAGTGGTAGCCTGGAACCTAACTTGCATATGAACATATTTACACTGCTCCAGTGTGACTGGTGTAGTATGTGATTGTGATTAGAAAGTGGTGTAATAATTTTTTTTTCTTGTAACGTGTATGGCAGTATTTTCATTGTTAAAGCCTACCACAAAGGAAGTACAACTCATCATTTCTTGTACAGAATTAAATCTGATGTTATGAATTGTTTAACACAAGTGTATAATATTATAAATTATGCTCAGTATTTGTAAATAATTTTTTTTTTTAAATTTAGACTTGGTGTAAGTGTACATGTAAGTGAATTTAATGTCTTTTTTTATTCTTATTTTTCAGGTAGAAGGCATATTCTACGTGAATGACCACCTTGAGAAATTAATGTTTGAAGAGTTACGCAATTCTTGCCGTCCAGGATCAATTGGAGGTTTCTTACCCGGTATGAAGCAGATTGCTAATGTTGCAGCGCTTCCTGGTATTGTTGGAAAATCTGTTGGTTTGCCTGACGTTCATTCAGGATATGGTTTTGCCATTGGTAAGTTTTAAGTGGTTTGTATATGGCCTCTGATCTATGTGTACTTCATAATTTTGTCAAGGAATTTACAGTCTAGTATTTTGAATGATATATTTAATATTGCTTGAATATTTTCTCTTGTTCTTTAAAAAAGTGGAATGGATTTTGATGTTTGTCATGTAGGTCTTATGACTAAACTCGAGCTGTTACATTCTGTTAAGTACGGTTCAATAGAATTGTTCTCTATGGTTTGGACTTGTCCTAGTTCACCTGGGATTAAGATGTAAGCAGTGATGCCTCTCAGCTTCATAACCAAAGTCAGTCAAAGATTTATTTCCACATGATACAATGTTTGTACAGAGATGGGTGACATTTGATTGTGCATACAGAAAGTCCAAGGTTATGCAGAGCATTTTGGGCACGATTGCTCGATTATATACATAAATAGAAATGCTATTTTCCTTGCATAGGTAATATGGCAGCTTTTGATATGGACAACCCTAAAGCAGTTGTCTCTCCTGGTGGTGTGGGTTTCGATATCAATTGTGGTGTGCGCTTGTTGCGGACCAACCTTACTGAAGCTGATGTTCTTCCCATCAAGGTAATCTGTTCGATTTTATATATTTTTTTTTTTCCAACAAGTCGGCCGTTTCCCACCGAGGCAGGGTGACCCAAAAAAGAAAGAAAATCCATAAAAAGAAAATACTTTCATCATCATTCAACACTTTCACCTCACTCACACATAATCACTGTTTTTGCAGAGGTGCTCAGAACACAACAGTTTAGAAGCATATACGTATAAAGATACACAACATATCCCTCCAAACTGCTAATATCCCGAAACCCCTCCTTTAGAGTGCAGGCATTGTACTTCCCATTTCCAGGACTCAAGTCCGGCTATATAAAAATAACCGGTTTCCCTGAATCCCTTCACTAAATATTACCCTGCTCACACTCCAACAGATCGTCAGATCCCAAATACCATTCGTCTCTATTCACTCCTATCGAACACGCTCATGCACGCCTGCTGGAAGTCCAAGCCCCTCGCCCATAAAACCTCCCTTACCCCTTCCTTCCAACCTTTTTGAGGACGACCCCTACCCCGTCTTCCTTCTCCTACCGATTTAAATGCTCTCTGTCATTCTACTTTGATCCATTCTCTCTAAATGACCAAACCATCTCAACAACCCCTCTTCAGCCCTCTGACTAATACTTTTATTAACTCCACACCTTCTCCTAATTTCCACACTCCGAATTTTCTGCATAATATTTACACCACACATTGCCCTTAGACAGGACATCTCCACTGCCTCCAACCATCTCCTTGCTGCTGCATTCACAACGCAAGCTTCACACCCATATAAGAGTGTTGGTACTACTATACTTTCATACATTCCCTTCTTTGCCTCCATAGATAACGTTTTTTGACTCCACATATACCTCAACGCACCACTCACCTTTTTTCCCTCACCAATTCTATGATTAACCTCATCCTTCATAAATCCATCCGCTGACACATCAACTCCCAAGTATCTGAAAACATTTACTTCTTCCATACTCCTCCTCCCCAATTTGATATCCAATTTTCTTTATCTAAATCATTTGATACGCTCATCACCTTACTCTTTTCTATGTTCACTTTCAACTTTCTACCTTTACACACACTCCCAAACTCATCTACTAAACTTTGCAATTTTTCTTTAGAATCTCCCATAAGCACAGTATCATCAGCAAAAAGTAACTGTGTCAATTCCCATTTTGTATTTGATTCCCCATAATTTAATCCCACCTCTCTCCCGAACACCCTAGCATTTACTTCTTTTACAACCCCATCTATAAATATATTAAACAACCATGGTGACATTACACATCCCTGTCTAAGACCTACTTTTACTGGGAAGTAGTCTCCCTCTCTTCTACACACCCTAACCTGAGCCTCACTATCCTCATAAAAACTCTTTACAGCATTTAATAACTTACCACCTATTCCATATACTTGTAACATCTGCCACATTGCTCCCCTTTCCATTCTATCATATGCCTTTTCTAAATCCATAAATGCAATAAAAACTTTCCTACCCTTATCTAAATACTGTTCACATATATGCTTCAATGTAAACACTTGATCTACACATCCCCTACCCACTCTGAAACCTCCTTGCTCATCCGCAATCCTACATTCTGTCTTGTCTCTAATTCTTTCAATTATAACCCTACCGTACACTTCTCCTGGTATACTCAGTAAACTAATTCCTCTATAATTTTTACAATATATATATTTATATATATAAATTTTTTTTTTTATTAACACACTGGCCGATTCCCACCAAGGCAGGGTGGCCCAAAAAGAAAAACGAAAGTTTCTCTTTTTAAATTTAGTTATCTATGCAGAAGGGGTTACTAGCCCCTTGTTCCCGGCATTTTAGTCTTTTTGTAATGGGAGGTTCTCTAGCAAATGGTTAGGTCTATTAAAGATATAAACTAATTTTTTTTTTTTAGATAGGGTGGCCCAAGGAAGGTATTAGATATATTCGCCATCATTCATTCAATAGCTGTCTTGTAGCTGTCTTGTCAGAAGTTCACAGACGTCACAGTTCAGCAACTCTTTGAAGTACAACAATCCCATCTATCCTTCAGAGCACTGTACTTCCCATCTTCAGAATTCAAATCTGGTTTACTCTTTTTCTTTATCTGCTCATAAGAGTTACTTAAGTCTTTCACTGTTGTGACCCCTCAAATTAAGTGCTCTGTCTCAATTTAGAAACAATATCTTTTTCTGGTTGTAATAAGAGACTAAAATCTCATTAGTACCTATCAAGATATGAAGGAATGAAGTTGAGGGTTGTTTACAGTATGATGACAATACCAGGGAGGAGGGGGGATGCTGCAGATTACAATACTTTTTGTTTTTCTGATTTTTTCTTGCACTTTGTGATTTTTTTTTTTACTCTTGCATGTACACTGTGGTCCAGGATGTACACAGCTTGCCCAACATCCTTATGGTAATGCTCTTTACACAGCAGAATATTATATATCAAATGCAGTTTCTCACATACGTGCAGTTTCTCACTCTCACTTGCATGTACTGGAAGATACACATTCACAGGCATGCACATATACACATGCATACATGTGCACATACACACATGTATACACATGCACATACAGATGTGTCCATTTTCATCACTTTCCTACTGTTCTAACAAATGCACAAATACATAGTTACTGGTTATGTTCCTAGAACTGTTGCAGTCAGTGGAAGTCCCTGAAACATGGCTCCATACACAGCAGTGTTTTACACTCACTACACACATGTATCCCAGCACTTTATTGAGCTCCCTGTCATTTGTGTGCAGACATACCATCTCTGAGCCCATTTCTTCTTGTCTGTAACAGGTAGTGCAATTAGTGATCATACCTCAAATGAGAGGGTATTTGGTCATCAGTATGGATGTGCTGGTGTGATTTTTGTATAAATTTCTGTATTTGTCTGATTACTGACAAACAGAAGTGGGCATATGGTTGTTTGTTGTCAATCATGACTTAGTAATATTGCATGCATTCAGCATTGCAATGTTATCAAGATGGAAGCAAAGTTTCTTCTGCCACTTACGTCTTCTGGACATTATCAACAGACCCAGTGTACGTATCACACTTCTCCACCAAACATTGGTGGTGTAATTAGTGATAGCAGTTGGTTTCTTAGTGGGTTCATCAGTTTTCCTATTCACCTCTCCTGTTTTTCTGTGTTTTGCACTTGTAGATGGATGGCAACACTGTTGCATCACGTTTGTCATAGCACTACAATGCCATGATGTCATTGGCATGAAACACCTACACTTCATCACCAATGCCTGTGTTTAACTTGGGCATATGTTTTCATGTTTCACACACTGTAGCATACATCTGTCATGGTCATCTGCACGAAATTGCTAAGTAAAGGGCTTTTGTACCAGTTCTCAGTGTATAATTCATGCCCCTTACAAGATGATTCCAGTATTTTCCTTGCCACAAACTTCCATGCAAGCGTGCGTGAGCGTGTTAGATAGGAGTGAATGGAGATGAATGGTATTTGGGACCTGATGAGCTGTTGGAGTGTGAGCAGGGTAATATTTAGTGAAGGGATTCAGGGAAACCGGTTATTTTTATATAGCCGGACTTGAGTCCTGGAAATGGGAGGTACAATGCCTGCACTTTAAAGGAGGGGTTTGGGATATATTGTGTATCTTTATACATATATGCTTCTAAACTGTTGTATTCTGAGCACCTCTGCAAAAACAGTGATTATGTGTGAGTAAGGTGAAAGTGTTGAATTATAATGAAAGTATTTTCTTTTTGGGGATTTACTTTCTTTTTGGGTCACCCTGCCTCGGTGAAAGACGGCCAACTTGTTAAAAAAAAAATCAATAGAGATTTCTAATGAATTCCTAGTATCTTCTAATGTTTCCCTTCCTGTGTACATAGATATAACAACATGCCACTTTGTCACCCAAAATGAACAATTTGATACAAAATTATTTTCTCTTGCTTGGTATATATTACTTGAATGATAGTCTGCCTTTCAACAGAATCTGAGATTTGTCAGTGACGAAGTTCCAGCAGGGATCAAAGAACTCACTGAGCTTATTTTTCAGATGCATAAAATCTCTAATCTTGTATAACATGTCATTTCTGTCAGGTTTTGTCAGATCTCAAAAGTGTAGCATACACAGCAACAGGATAAATCTGTTGATAGGGAAGATATCATTGAACATGTACACGAGACAATCAGTTGACTGGTATGATACAATGTTGTACGTGTACACGTGGCATCAGCGTGATTGTGGCAAAGAAGAGAGGCATTTCAGCCACAATTGGGTCTTTCCACTTGTGACCTGGTGAAACAACTTTTCCATTGTATTCCGATAGCATCTTTAGGTTTGTCACTGTCATTTTCATTAATGCTTCATCAGAATTAAGTTCAAAGAAATTAGGTTCATCTGTGTCTTCCCTTGGGGTACAATATGGCAGGATTCCACTGTGTCATCACATTAGTGGGGATTGGGTACAAAATATGTATTCTACCAATCCCAGATGCAGTCTGCTGGTGGTTTCTGGATACAGTGGAACCTCAAATTTTGAACGTATCGCTTATCGAACTCTTCGAAAATTGACCGCTTTTTTCGAACCAACTTTGTTCCTATTATCGAACTCTCCCCTATTTTCAAACTGCCGGGTACCGGACCTGTCCGGCAACCCGCTCTGTCCACGTTCCCGCACAGGCGCCGTGAGCCAGTCTGGTTTTGTTGATGCTTGAGTGAACACTAACCTGCGCTCACTCAAACATTTTACGATTATTTCATTGTGTTTAGTGCTTGTGGGACTGAAATAAGCTACCATGGGCCCAAAGAAACTTGCTAGTGGTACCCCTGTGGTAAAGGTAGTGAGAAACACCATAGATGTGAAGAAGGAAATAATACAGAAGTATGAGAGTGGTGTACAACTTATTGAGCTTGCCAGGATGTATGGGAAAAACAAGTTGACCATTGGTTCTATCCTGGCAAAGAAAGAACAAATCAAGGAAGCTGATGTTGCAAAAAGTGTTAATATGCTAACCAAAAAAAGACCACAGACAATCGATCAGGTTGAGAAGTTGTTGCTGGTGTGGATCAAGGATAAAGAGATGGCAGGTGATAGTGTTTCAGGTAGGATTATTTGTGAAAAGGCAAGGAAGTTGCACACCGATTCAAAGATTAAGGAGATTTGCGCCAAGTGGAATGATGTCCAAATGTTTGTGGAGAAGTACCACCCTGAGCAAGCTGAAACAAGCCATCTCTGCAACAAATTCAGTGACAGAGCCATGTCCCATTTTAGGGAAATCTTAACCCTTTGACTGTCGCAACCCCCAATCCTGAGGAGTCTCCTGGTGTCGCAAAATTTAAAAAAAAAAAAAAATTATTTTTTCTTATGAAATGATAGAGAATCTTTTCCCGATTGTAATGACACCAAAAAAACAAAATTTGATTGACAACTGACGGAATTATGCTCTCGCGAAGTTAGCGACCTCGGCGCTGTTTACAAATCGGCGATTTCGCCCACTTTGAGCCCTATTTTTGGCTAATTCCATTGTTCCAATTGCCCAAACTCATAGCTATTTCTTTAGAACTCCATTTTCTCTATCGATTGAGTACAAGAAACTGCCCATTTACCGATTTCAACTACCTAATAATGTGGTCAGAAATTTGCAATTTGGCCAATTTCAGGAAAACTAAAAAATATGACAATTTCAAAATAAGGTCCAGAATGAACAATGCAGATATTCCTGGCTCTAAAATAACATTTTCTTTGCTCATTAGCCATGTCTCCAGGCCCCTCTGATATTACTCTTGCTTTCTATTTTGAATTTTTATTCAAACAAAAAATAGAAGACTTACTATTATGCAGACTACTGCAATACTGTAATAATTGTATAAATAACATCAACCCATTTATGACTGCATATTAGAATGGCTAGTTGGACATTTATTGGACAATGGCATCATTTGTTTACTTTTGAACATTGGCAAAAATCAAACATTTCCCCTACTTTGAGCTCCATTTCTAGGTTCTTTTTATAGTAAAATCAATCAAAATCACCTCTATTTCTATAACATGTTTTCCATTCTATCAAATGAGACCAAGAAAACGAGAATACAACCATAAATACTATACGAAAATAGACCACAAAGTCGGCATTTTAATTAAAAAAAACGGTCCGAGTTTTTTTTTTCTCATTATGCACTGCGTTCTCCAGGATTTTTTTTATATGGTGCACACTGACCACACAGACCCATTCTCTCACATGTGGGCCTACCAGCTTTCTCCTGCTTGATTTGAAGCCGCTAGAATTTATGAGTATATATACGTCAAACACGGTACCTTGTAAGACATACATGCATGTATATATACGGCCGCGACAGTCAAAGGGACTGTGGAATGTTATTTAGAGACAAGGGTCCAGTGACTCTCAAGCTGGTCCTAGTGGCATTAAAAGACAGAAGGGAAGTAACCCCAGAGAGGGCTTTGATACCTAAAGTTCTTATGGAGGGGGGATTCCCTTTCTAATTACTAACCCCAACTCCCTCTCTCCTCCTCCCTACCTTCCAGATGCCATCACCAATCTTCAATAAAGATAAGTAAATATGTTATTTTATATGTTTATTTAAATTTATTAATACATGATTGAACACTATTTATTGTGTGTATGTAAAACTATAATTCATCACTATAAAATGTATTTATTTTTTTGTGAATATTTTTGGGTTTCTGGAACGGATTTTTTTTTTTTTTTTTTAACAAGTCAGCCGTATCCCACCAAGGGAAGTATTGCTTCTGTTTTCAGACTTTTCGAATTTAGGACTAGCTCCTGGAATGGATTAAGTTCGATATTTGAGGTTCCACTGTATTTGGAACTGGTTGTTGTTAGTGCTAGTGGTGGATGCATCCAGATTTGGTCGGGTGCATGGGGTATACCTGGAGAGGGTTTCAAGGGTCAATGCTCCAGCGGCCCGGTCTGTGACCAAATCTCGTGGTGGATCAGACCCTGATCAGTCAGGCTGTTCTGCTGGCCATATGCAGACTGACGTACAAACCACAGCCCGGCTGGCCAGCTAGTGATTTTAGGTGCCTGTCCAGTGCCTTCTTGAAAACAGCCAAGGGTCTATTGGTAATCCTCCTTATGTATGCTGGGATGCAGTTGAGTAGTCTTGCGCCCCTAAGACTTATTGTGTTGTCTCTTAGCATACTTATGGCATCCCTATTTTTCATTGGGGGGATGTTTCATCTCTTGCCGAGTCTTTTGCTTTTGTAGGAAGTGAATTTCGTGTGCAGATATAGCTCCCTCCTGGGGCTGGCACTTGTGCTGTGTGCCTTTGTCCCACCATCTGGTGCTGCATGCATCAGCAGCATTGCCTGTTGTCCATTGCCCATACCAATGGAAGCATTACCAGACAATGTGTATTGCCATATAAATTGATGCTTCGTGGGTGAATAATTATTGCTATCACTTGTCTGATCATCAATTGTAGTGTGGTCTTCATGTTTTCACACTGCCACCTGAGGTAGATGGTGTGGGTCATTGGGGTTCAGGGCTATTCCTGACATTGTCCTCAGTTTATTTGTCACTTTTTTCTCTCTCTCAAAATTCGTTGTCAGGTTCTGCATCCTTGTTGGAGCTGTCAGTGAGAAATAAAAGATGTATCATGAGCCTGAGAGTGAGAGTAGTGCATCTGCATGACATGGTGAACAATGATGAATTAAGATGCATTGCAGTGTCATGGTTTTTTGTATACTGCACACATTGACCACAGACCCATTTTCTTATGTCTAGGCTTCAGGTATGTCAAGCTAAATTTAAAGGCACTGGAATTTACATGTAGATTTATGTAAATGCCATTGGCCTTAATAATAATGTAGAGCTATATGAAAAACAGTGAAAGGGTTAAAAATATTTGAATAAATTTTATCAAGTATCTCAGAGGATTTTCTTGTTTTTGGAATAGTACAGTGGACCCCCGGTTAACGATATTTTTTCATTCCAGAGGTATGTTCAGGTGCCAGTACTGACCACAATATTCCTTATGGGAACAAATTCGAAGTAGATTAGTCCTTTTCAGACCCCCAAACATACACGTACAAACGCACTTACATAAATACACTTACATAATTGGTCGCATTGGGAGGTGATCGTTAAGTGGGGGTCCACTGTATTTATAATTTTGCATCACTTAAGAGGAGCAAATAGATAGATTTGAAGGTCAGAATTTAAATTTTTTACATGTTCTAGTACAATTTTTTTTTCCATGGTTTTATTGTTGTTGGCACTCGAGGGAGGTTCCATGATGCTGGTGAGCTGCTCTTAGTCCATGAAATTGGACTTGGTTTATTACTGCCCATTGATTAAAAAACTGAACTAGTGAAATCTCTCTACATCTTTGCTTTCTTGTTCTCCTTGTTAATAATGATAGTAGTCTTTTATATATTATGTAACATGTTATACCCTTGTTATACTTGTGAATTTCATAATTCACTCACTCTATCTGATTTTACTGAAGAACCTGTCAAGAATAACTCTGATCAATTATAACCTAATTTAAAATTTAACCATAGGATTTTATTCAAAATAATCTCAGTGGATTTCCTGATCTCCAGACTCTTCTTTATTCAAATTCTTTCTTGTAAATTTTAATATAAACCAGAGATTTAAAGAGATCAGCTCTAAACCAGAAAATAATGATAAAAAAATGAGTGTTATGAGGGCCTGGTCATGGACTGGGCCGAAGGGTCGTTGACCCCTGGAACACCCTCTAGGTAGGTAGGTAGAATCTTCTTTGGTAAGAGATGGTTATTAGGGTTGGGGTAGGAAATTTAGTGGTATGTATTTTGTAAGCCTAGATAGTAGGTTGATAGACAGAAACTGCCCAGGGAGGTACTACCCTCCTGCAAAGTGAGTGTGAAACAAACTGCAATTGTTTTACATGATGGTAGGATAGCTGGTGTCTCTTTTCTGCCTCATAAACATGAAAGATTTCAGGTACATCTTGCTACTTCTACTTAAACTTAGGTCACACTACATATGCATGTACAAACATACATATACACACCCCTCTGGGTTTTCTTCTATTTTCTTGCTAGTTCCTGTTTATTTCCTCTTATCTCCATGGGGAAGTGGAACAGAATTCTTCCTCCATAAGCCATGCATGTCATAAGAGGCAACTAAAATGTTGGGAGCAAGGGGCTAGTAACCCCTTCTCTGGTATACATTACTAAAGTCAAAAAGAAACTTGTTTCTCTTTTTGGGCCACCCTTCTTTGGTGGGATACAGCCAGTTTGTTAAAAGAAATAGTGTAAGGAATGATCAAGGAATCTAACACTCATTAATTTGGAGGTTTGACTTTGATGATCAATCAACAAGGGTATTTTTACTGTATTTAGCATTTTATTAATATTTTTTAGTTCTGCGAGTTACAGTATGTAAGTTTCCTTTGCACTTTTTCTGTGCCCATTTGTTTAAAGGGGCAGATACCCCCACTACATATGAACACCTATATTTCCCCATCGATGTATCTGAAGGCTGTTTTGTAGTTTGCCAGAGTAACTGAGTTTCTCAAAATTTTATTTGTATACTGATTTTCCAGAGAAATTATTTCTAATAGTTCTTGTTGATAAAAGTGAGCATTGAAGATGTTAATTTCCTTCCGCTGCTCCATAGATTGACCTAGAATTGTGCCTCAGTCATTTTGTTTTCCATGCATATATAGCTCTTGTTTTCAGTTTGAGTGAGCCCGTCCTTCATCTTTCACAGGAGCAGTTAGCCCAGTCCATGTTTGACCACATCCCAGTAGGAGTTGGGTCAAAGGGTATTATTCCTATGACAGCACGTGACTTAGAGGAAGCACTCGAGATGGGCATGGATTGGTCACTCAGAGAAGGTACGTTCTTTATCTGAGAACGATAAGAGTAATATTTTCTTTTATAGTTGAATGTATTGAGTGTATAACTGATCGATCGCTTCCTGATATCTCTAATTTTACGGCAAATGTTTACTTTAAAGTCGTAAGAGGTGATTGGAGACTGATTTTAAATTATGGTTTAGACTGGAATTAATAAGCATACTGTTTGATTATATTGTGATTATTATATCTCTTATATGACAGTGAATTAGAAATAATAGCAGTATGTTTGTATTGATAGTAGCAGATGAAGGTTACTAAAAATTGGTAATGATTACTGTACATTAACTTTTTTGTAATTTTTATTTTTTAAAGCATTGAATATTAAATTTTTTCTATTTTTAAATTTTACGACCCAACTCTTTACCATGATTTTTGTTTTACACCATTAATAAAATTCACTTGGCAGTATTGTAAAATCTTGTTGGTTTCCAGTATTGATTTATTTTAATTTTTTATTTTATTTTTTCCATTTTGTCTGCTGCTTCCATTAACCCTTTTAATTCTTTGTACTTAGCATTTTTATGATCATCACTATGGCCTACTGCATTGAGAAGATACGTCCCACTCTCTTATTTCCTTCACCTTTGTCATGCAACATACTTTGCAACGTACATTGCAGTTTTTGAACTGTAGTATCGGCACGCCTCTGGAAAGACAGTGATGGAGTGTGATGATGAAAGTGTTTTCTTCTTTTTCTGGAAGCCCTGCGTTGGTGGGAAACAGTGGATGTGTTAAAAAAAAAAAATACACTTTGCTTGTATGTTGTGTATTTGTAGGAAAATTATTATAGTGATAACAAGAGGTGATAATGAGTCAAATTTGATATTTTACAGGGTATATTTGGGCTGAAGATAAGGAACATTGTGAGGAATATGGACGTATGGCACAAGCAGACCCAGCTACAGTGTCCATGCGTGCTAAGAAGAGAGGCTTGCCACAGGTACTAGTGTGACAATTTATGCTGTTGGTACTTCCTCCATTCACAGTAAATTGCATCGTTATTATGTTTTTGCTTTCTATTATATAGATTTTTTTTTTTTAACTAATCCAGAGGACCTTATTTTATTTGAATAAGATAGCCAGATGTCAGGATATTTCTTAATAGTTGTATTTGTTTCCTTTCACTTCCATTGGGAAGTGGGTGAGAAGTCTTCTGCAGTAAGCAATATGTGTGGTATAAGGTAACTTGAGTGCTGGGAGCCAGGGACTATTGTATTAATTACTGAAGAAAAAAAGAATTGGTTTCTTAAGCTGGGTTATTTGAATGTACATGGTTGTAGTGCAGAGGAGAAGAAAAAACTAATTGCTAATGTTTCAAATGAAAAGCTTGAAGTCTTAGCACTAAGCCTAGGACAGGCTAGCTAGGTCAAAGTGGTAATGTTAACCTTTTCATTGCTTAGACCTCCAAAATTAATATTGATCCCAGTGCTCACTAATTATTATTTTTTTACCCTCCAAAAAATTATTGTTTTCTGAAATAGTAGCAAATCTATTTCTGAAGGTAATGACACCAAAGGTACAGAATTTGATGGAAAACTTAGGGAATTATGCAGACACAAATGGTTAAATATGGTTGATGCAGCTATGGCCTAGTGGGTGAAGGAATCATTTCATTAGAGACAGTGAGAAGATGAGAGCTTGTGTGATAGATAACCCATATTGTGATCTCTTGAAAAAAGGAAAAGTGGTCAGTACAGTTAAAACTGAAAAAATTTTGATTGGCTGGATTCAGGAGAAAATGAATGTGCACCACTTTAATGTCTTTGTGAGTTGTGACAAAGCCTTATCTTACTATAAAACAATATGTGAACTGAAGGAAAACCTACAAACAAGTGTACCTTGAGTATGGGATGATTTAATAGTTTTAGATTGCACAATAAGCTTTGGAAAGTAACGTTCAGGGGTGAGAGTGCCTCTGCTGACTATATAGAAGCAGAGAATTTTCTGAGTGGCCCTACTGAGCCACCCTGGTGTGGCCCTGCTGAGCCACTCTGGTGTGGCCCTACTCAGCCACCCTGGTGTGGCCCTGCTGGGCCACCCTGGTGTGGCCCTGCTGGGCCACCCTGGTGTGGCCCTGCTGGGCCACCCTGGTGTGGCCCTGCTGGGCCACCCTGGTGCGGCCCTGCTGAGCCACCCTGGTGCGGCCCTGCTGAGCCACCCTGGTGCGGCCCTGCTGAGCCACCCTGGTGCGGCCCTGCTGAGCCACCCTGGTGCGGCCCTGCTGAGCCACCCTGGTGCGGCCCTGCTGAGCCACCCTGGTGCGGCCCTGCTGAGCCACCCTGGTGCGGCCCTGCTGAGCCACCCTGGTGCGGCCCTGCTGAGCCACCCTGGTGTGGCCCTGCTGAGCCACCCTGGTGCGGCCCTGCTGAGCCACCCTGGTGCGGCCCTGCTGAGCCACCCTGGTGCGGCCCTGCTGAGCCACCCTGGTGCGGCCCTGCTGAGCCACCCTGGTGCGGCCCTGCTGAGCCACCTGGTGCGGCCCTGCTGAGCCACCCTGGTGCGGCCGCTGGCTGGGGCCCACCCTGGTGCGGCCCTGCTGAGCCACCCTGGTGCGGCCCTGCTGAGCCACCCTGGTGCGGCCCTGCTGAGCCACCCTGGTGCGGCCCTGCTGAGCCACCCTGGTGCGGCCCTGCTGAGCCACCCTGGTGCGGCCCTGCTGAGCCACCCTGGTGCGGCCCTGCTGAGCCACCCTGGTGCGGCCCTGCTGAGCCACCCTGGTGCGGCCCTGCTGAGCCACCCTGGTGCGGCCCTGCTGAGCCACCCTGGTGCGGCCCTGCTGAGCCACCCTGGTGCGGCCCTGCTGAGCCACCCTGGTGCGGCCCTGCTGAGCCACCCTGGTGCGGCCCTGCTGAGCCACCCTGGTGCGGCCCTGCTGAGCCACCCTGGTGCGGCCCTGCTGAGCCACCCTGGTGCGCCCTGCTGAGCACCCTGGTGCGGCCCTGCTGAGCCACCCTGGTGCGGCCCTGCTGAGCCACCCTGGTGGGGCCCTGCTGAGCCACCCTGGTGCGGCCCTGCTGAGCCACCCTGGTGCGGCCCTGCTGAGCCACCCTGGTGCGGCCCTGCTGAGCCACCCTGGTGCGGCCCTGCTGAGCCACCCTGGTGCGGCCCTGCTGAGCCACCCTGGTGTGGCCCTGCTGAGCCACACCAACCCTCTACTGACATTAGACCAATTAAGCACAACAACCAAAATTTAAGGCAATTTCATTCACATAGCTTGACTTCCTGGGTTCTGGTTAAATTATCCTGTATTATGCTATAATAACATGCTGTAAAGTGCCTATAATATCTCCATACCTTTTAAAATAATTATACAATACTCAGTTTATTATTTTAGGTGAATTGTGTATTTTTTAAGAAAAGTTATGCCCTTTTTTTCCTCTCTTTGGTGGCGTACAACGTTACCCAGTTATTTTCTGTAAGTTGTTCACTCCAACCATTGCGTTTTCACATTTATCTCTGTTTTTATGCAGCATAATTCACGCAGAAGTGGTGGTTGTCTGCTGTAATAGGTTTAGCATCTCATTAACCCTTTCAGGGTCCCCAGGCCCTCTCCCAGACTTGTTCTCAGGGTCGCCCAAATTTCAAAAAAAAAAATTATTTTTTCTTATGAAAAGATAGAGAATCTTTTCCCGATCATAATGACACCAAAAGTATGAAATTTGATGGAAAACTTACGGAATTATGCTCTCGTGAAGTTAGCGGTCTCGATGATGTATACGTATTGGAGATTTTGCCCACTTTGAGCCCTATTTTCAGCCAATTCCAGTGTACTAGTCGACAAAATTCATAACTATTTTGCTAGAATTCCATTTTTCCTATCAAATGAGTACAAGAAACCACCCATTTACCGATTTCGACTATCCAATACAGTGGTCAAAATTTAGCAGTTTTGCCAATTTCACACAAATTTCAGAAGATGCCAATTTCCAAATAGGGTCCAGAATAAACAAATAAGACATTCCTGGCACTAAAATAACATTTTCTCTGTTCATTAGTCACGTCCCCACGCCCCTCTTACATTCTTTTGCTTTCCACTTTAAATTTTTATTCTCACAAAAAATAGAAGGTTTACTGTTATGCAGACTACTGCATTAGTGTAGAAATGGTCTAAATAACATCAGCGCACTTGTGAAAGAATATTAGACTCGCCAGTTGACGTGTATTGGACGCATAGCATGATTTGTTTACTTTTGAACTTAGGCAAAAATCAAAGATTTCTGCTACTTTGAGCGCAATTTCAAGGTACTTTTCATTGTAAAACCAATCAAAATAGTCTCAATTTCTGTAATATGTCGTCCATTCTATAAAATGAGACCAGGAAAACTAGAATACCATCATAAATACCATACAAAAATACAGTGCAAAGTCGCTGTTTGAAACCCAAAATACGGTCAAAGTTTTTTTTTTTCTCATTATGCACTGTGTGCTCCAGGATTTTTTTTATGCTGCACACACTGACCACATAGACCCATTCTTTCATATGTAGGCCTACCAGCTTTCTCTCCCTAGATTTGAGGGCGCTAGAATTTATGCGTACTAGTATGTCAAAAACCCTGGTGCGTAAGCCATACTAGTACGTCGGAAACCCTGAAAGGGTTAAAAGTCCCTTGCACTTATTGCATTTTGAAGTATTATAAGCTGGCTGCAGTGTCTCTTTCAATAATTGTTTGAGATATTGCAGTTTGTCATAAAGTAGAATGATTATTGCATAGGTCTTTAGTGCAACCTTGATCTGTTAGGTTAGTGGATAACAGATATTAAGTGTGTATGATGACAGAGAAGGCAGAAAAGCTCAGTGCTGAGCACAATCAAAAAAATAGTCTTTCTATGCATTACATATCCACTTGATCTCGTAAGTTTTTCACATAATTGACAGTTTTGTACCTTAAATAGGTAGGGTGACTCAAATTAGGAAACATCTACCATAATTCATTCTCCAGCTGCCTTGATGCAACACAAACACACATCATCTAAAATGGCCCCCTTAAAAAAAAAGTAAAAATAATATAAAAATAATGGAAATCTCTTAACATGTGGCAGAAGGGGACTGATTTTTAAATATCACCATGCTGCCTAACCCTTCAACTCCTCACCACCTTCGCACTAACTACACAAGCAAAGTTTTCTGGAGTCCTGTTGTCCAAAAAATTCTCAATAATGGTAATTATGTCAGGACGTTAAATGTTCACAAAACTGTGCATGAGCTCACCACTCATTGGTATTTGCCAAATCATCTTCCTAAAAATCTTACTAAACGTATTCTTATTGACTTAACTCATTTTTCAGGATTTCTCTATCACTGCACATTAACCATGACACCCAGAAGTGCTTCTAGTTTAACTTGAAGTCAAAAATAAGTGAATACTTAAAGAAAATAGCTGTTAGTATTTGTCTACAAATGGCATAAAATAAGCATTCAGTGCTGTTGATGAATATAATATCTAAGCATTCATAAATTTAAAAAATGGGAGTGCATATACAGTGGACCCCCGCATAACGATATTAATCCATTCATGAGAGCTCATTGTTATGCGAAATTATCGTTATGCGAATGAATTTTCCCCATAAGAAATAATGGAAATCAAATTAATCTGTGCAAGACACCCAAAAGTACGAAAAAAAAAATTTTACCACATGAAATATACATTTTCCTACACACAAAGAGAAGGATACATGCACAATAGTAGAATAGTACATGCACAATATATATTGTGCATGTACTACTCTACTAAATGAAGAATAAATGACACCTTTATTGAAGATGCAGCAATGACTGATGAGACACTGTGTCCTGGGAGTGCCTTTTCCTCCTGAGTACTGTAGGTCCTGTTTGGCATTTTCTTCCAGAACAGGCCTTATCACACTGTGTTTGCCACTACGATTCTTAAATCTCTCAAACCAACCTTTGCTGGCTTTAAATTCGCCAATATGAGCACTAGT